GCCCCGCCGCAGTTCTTCCCCTACGGCGACGCCTCCAAGTTCGCGCAGCACGCTTTCCGCACCTTCGATAAGAACGGCGACGGCACCATCGACTTCCGAGAGTTCATCTGCGCCCTTTCGGTCACCTCCCGCGGCAGCTTCGAGCAGAAACTCAACTGGGCCTTTGAGATGTACGATCTGGACGGCGATGGCCGCATCACGCGTCTGGAGATGCTGGAGATCATCGAGGTGCGCCAGGGCGCGAGACCGGGGCGGGCTGGGGAGGGCGTGCGGGTCCCTGAGCCGACCCTGCGGGACACCGCCTCCTCCAGCCACCCTCCCTGCCCTCCCTGCAGCCCCCCAGCCCTCCCCGCCCCCAGCACCCGGTGGCTCACCGCAATGCTGAGCGCTTTACCGGATGCCAGAGGTACTATCAGAAGCCCCATTTTACCCATGAGGAAACGGCAGGGGGTGGCTGTTCGTGATTTAAATCCAAGGAGTCTGACCCCAGAGCCTATATTCTTAACTCATTCATTTTTCAAAGGGTAAGTATTAAGTGCTGTTAACTGTTCAAAGTTCCTGCTTTTGCGGGACATTCCTTACAGTAAGAAATTTTTTAAAAAGTAAATACACGTGGGGCGGCACCTGTGGCTCAGTGAGTAGGGCTCTGGCTCCATATAGCGGAGGTGGCGGGTTCAAACCCGGCCCTGGCCAAACTGCAACCAAAAAGCAACCAAAAAATAGCTGGTCGTTGTGGCGGGTGCCTGTAGTCCCAGCTACGTACGTGGGAGGCTGAGGCAGGAGAATCGCCTAAGCCCAAGAGCTGGAGGTTGCCGTGAACTGTGACACCACGGCACTCTACCGAGGGTGACAAAGTGAGATTCTGTCTCTTAAAAAAAAAAAAAAAGTAAATACACCTATGCTGTGTCAAGTGGTAAGTGCTAAGAAGAAAATAAAGCAAAGTATAGGAGAGAGTGATGGAGGAAAAATGATTTTATAGAAGGTGGAAGGTGAGTAGCAACTGAGTGAGGTGAGGGGGCAAAGCCCTAGATGTCTGGAGGAAGAGGGTTCTCAGGTTGGAGTGGGTTTGCCAAATTCAAGGGAGGGGGTGCCAGGCGGTGGGAGAGCAGTGAGTGAGGGGGAAGGTGACAGGGAGGCTGTCAGAGTGGGCGTCAGGAGCCCTCCCTCAGCATCTTGTAGGCTGGGGTAGAGACTTTGGTTTTATTCTGATGGACATCAGGGAGGGAGAAAAGGCTTGGGCGTGGGAAGGGAGGGGGTAGCAGAAGCACGGCCCAGATAGGAGACTCTCACCACAGTCCAGTTGCTACCTGGAGGAAGTTGCCATCACAGAGGAGCAATGGAAGTGACAGGGATGCGGGCTCTATTGGAAAACTGGAGCTGACAAGATTTTCTGAAGGATTGGATGTGGAGTGGGAGGGACGGAGGGGAGTCAAGGACAGTGTCAGGGGTTGTGGTCTGAGCTACGGGCACAGTGGAGTTGCTACTTAATGGGAGGGAATCGTAGAGGAGGGGCAGGTTGGGGTGAAGAATTGGGCTTTAGACACATTTTATCGAAAGAAACATTAGTCTAGGTAAGTTATGACATGCTTATTATTTATCTGGTCTCAATGACTATGTATCACCTTCCAGTCTCCTCACAATGTTCCATAGTTCCCCCTGCCTGCCCCCAGATCTGTTCACTCACTCCATCCTCCCTGCTCCTGTGGGTGTTCACACCTCCCTCCTCTCCCCTGAAGGCTATCTACAAGATGGTGGGCACTGTGATCATGATGCGTATGAACCAAGATGGGCTCACACCCCAGCAGCGTGTGGACAAGATCTTCAAGAAGATGGACCAGGATAAGGATGACCAAATTACGCTGGAGGAGTTCAAGGAGGCGGCCAAGAGTGACCCATCGATTGTGTTGCTGCTGCAGTGTGACATGCAGAAGTAGAGGCTGGTGAGGGGCATGGCCCCTGGCCAGGAGGGGCATGGCCACCTCCCAACCTGATGACCTCTGGCTGGCCTTCCCCTGGGGAGGGGCATTCTAGCCTCAGTCTCTGGTGTACCCACTCCTCTGCCTAAGTCCTTCCTCCCCTCAGTCAAGATCCTTGGGGGACCACCTTACCTTGCAGGAGAGACAGGTCCTCAGATATCCTGTCGTTTAGCCCCAACCCCAGCCTTGGTCCAGAATCAACATCAAATGGGAAGAGAGGAGTTGGCTTTTGCCCTAAGAGGCAGGGTTAAGGAGGAAGATTGGGGTCCTGCTTTGAAATTCTGTTGTTCCTGGGGTCATGAGTTATGGAATGTGGTCCCACAGGCCCATCATGAGTCTAGATGGAGTCTGTCCTTTCTAGAGGACCCGGAGCCTTTAAAGGTGGTCTCTGTCCTGTCCCCTCTCGACTCTACCTGGTCCCTCTGGCCCCAGCCTTTGGAGCGTTCATCATCCTTTCTTCAGCTAATGTTTATTGAGCACTTGTTCAATGCCAGGCATCTCCAAGTGCCAAGGATATGGGTGTTTACAAGACACAGTCCATGCTCTTTGGAAGCACATCAGGTAGTGAGCCAAACTTCAGTGGTCAGGGTCCCAGGCTGGGATGTCAAGCATAGCTGAGCAGACAGAGGGTGCTGTGAGGGCTGCTTAGTTTGGGAGGAGCTATCGCATCTTCCAGCTGAGCTCCACACAAGGCTGCAGAAGGATGAAATGAGAAGCATTTGGATATTTCAGAGCCTGTGAGTGGAAGTCTTAAGAAAAATGGAATTCATGTAATACTTATTTTTTTAGAATCCTTGGAAAGAGCTAAAGTCATTTTTATCAATTTAGGATGTTAAAATGTACTTTATATTACTTGTTTTCTTATAAAATAATCAAATGAGTAGAGAAAATGCTAATTATCAGGGGAAAAGAGTTGAGACCAAAAGAGGGTAAATACCATTAAACTTACAGGTAACAAGTTTTCTTATTAGGCTAACTCGCCATCAGCAGGTTTTTGCTGCTTTTGCTGCTTCCTTTTCATTACCTGTTCTCAATTCAACAAGCAACTCTGTTGCACACTTACTCTGGTTGAGTTCTGACTTCAGAGACAAAAAATAGAATTTGCCAAGGGTGAGGCGAGTGTGTGTCCCACATCTTGATAGTTCATTTCTAGATTTGGTGTGGTTTCAGGGATGAGTTTGTTCTTTCATTGGTACCAAAGCAGAAGGAGATGGAAGAAAAGGACCTCCCAGCCACTGTGTAGGCACCCAGGCTGCATTTATGGACCAAATGCCTAAAACTGTGCTAGACATGCTCCATTTGAAAGGTTTTTTTCTAACTCCAGATCCTAGGTCAGCCAGGTAATTTATCATCTTCCAAGTGCACTGGCTCTGTTTTTCCAATGCCTGCATTCCAATTTTGGATCCATGAGCTATACAGCTGCATGCTTTGATTGCCAGAAAAATTAATCTTGCTTCTTCATCAAGTCTTTTGCTACTTTCTCCTGTTCTTGTGATCAGAAATGAGCTTTAACATGCAGTGATGGTTGATTTCCTCTTGAACTGCTGGTGAAAACAGTCTGGGGCTAGAGTAGGGAATGATTGCTGAGCCCAGGGTGGGGGAACTGCATCTGCAGGAAAGAGATGCAGCATACCCTTCACTTCTGGGGGCTCACCTGGCTCGCCTCTCTAGGTGGAAACTTTTGGGGATCCTGACCTTTGGTCTCAAGCTCTATTGGGCCCCTGGAGGTAGCAAGCCCTCTGAGTTGCCACCCTTTTTCTATCCTCTTGCTTATGACCAGCCGTGTGATAGGCTGGGGAATTCACATCCTCATGCAGTAACTAGGAGATATTTATCCAATATTGCCTCAAGAGATGTCCCATTGCTCTCAGGGGTAGCTAATAGGTATCTTGTGCTATTGGTCAGCACCATAGACGCACATATGCTCAATAACCTGGCTCAGCTGGGGCCCAAATCTTCCAGTGGGAGGCTTTTCACTAAGTGAAGTTCCTTCCCCCTGGATGTTCTATCTAGTCTAACTCACAATCACACAGAATTTCATGACTTTCAAAGGCTTGCTATTTACCCCATCTTATTAGATCCTCTAGCCCAAGGAGGTAGAGATTTTCGTTCCCTTTCTCCAGACTTGGAGGCTAAGGTTCAGAGGTGGGGAAACTCTTGTGCAAGAGCACACACTCAGGAGGTGGCACAATCTACCTTCCTCTTCAATCCAAGACTTGAACCCAAGGATCTAAGAGGATTTCTTTCCTCCAGAGTCTCTTCCCTGCCCATTTCAGTTGTGCAGAGGTTGACTGTGAGGCAAGCTAAGTTGATTTTCATCTTTTACAAGCTTGTTGCTAAAAGAAGCAAGAAGCTTCTTCTTGTTTTTGAGGTTGTGGTCTTCCAAAAAGGAAGAGGCACTTGGTTGACCTCCCATATTTCCAAGGATCCTATTTTCTGCTTCTGGGTGGCTTTGCTAACAGAACAATGCTATCCTGGGAGGCCTAAGACTCAGAAGCCTGGAAGCATCCTGCATTATCTTTGCCACCATTTTCCTCCCTGAGAGAACCGTTTTTGTTTTTCCCAAGCTGACAAGCAAGTCCTACCCTGGAGGGTATGTCTGATTGCTCTGAGCTGCTAGACACATATTCATGGGTGATATTTTCTAGCCAGGCACAGTATTCTTAGATAGCCTGGCCGTGTGAAAACAATGTCAGTTCAGGAACAGGGACCACCATATTGCTGATGGGAGAAGCCACAGGCAGGCCAAGCCTTGCTCCCACATGCTCCTGACTGTCCTAGGGACTGTGTGCCTAGGAGTCCTTGTGGTAGAGCAACTGGCCCTGCCTGGAGAAGAAAGATAGGTGTCCCATCCCTACCCTAGCTGAGAGGGATTTGCCACAAAGCACAAGGTTAATAGGGATTTATATATGACTTGCACAGAAACAAAAATATTCAATGAAAACACTGACATCTCCAAACTCCCCTTTGAAAGTTTATATCTCCTTATAACCCCTCTGTGAATTGCAAAGTCCCAGAATCTGCCTTCTTACATATTCTGTCCTTACTCATCCTTTTGGGCTGGTTGATGAGCTCTTTATATCTTATGCTAAAAATCATTAGCAAGGGCTACTTCAGATTGCCACTGTAGTCCTTTGAACTCTAGTCAGGGTTATTTAACTTACTTTAAATCAAAAGCTAAGAAAAAGCAAGTTCATAAGCAAAGGTATTAAATCCTTCTGTTTCTGACAACAATGGCAGAGTCCCTAGAGGTAGCAATTCATCCTGCTGGGGGCAGGGTGGCAGGAGAAGTGGAGAGGAAAAAAAGAGAGAGAATAAGAGAAGAAGCTGAGGTTTTTCTAGGCAGGGTAGTAAGCTGACACTGTAAATATTTTTACACAAAAATTTATTAAAGCAACAAATACTTCCTGAAGACCCACCCTGGGTGAGGCTTTCTGCTGACTTTAGAGATCACTTTGGGGGCAAGAATGCATTTCCTACATATTTATTCATCATTCTTGAAAAAATAATTCAAATCCTGCAATTAAAGTTTCAGAAATATGTGGGATTTTCTTTCTGAAATTTTCAGGATTTTCTTTTTACTTTCGCCAGGGTGGGGGGCAGGACTGGGCCTCTCAGGGTATATTCCTGCTTGGTGCAGGCTGGACAGGCCCAAGGCCTTATAAGCAGCAGGGATGAGGAGGCCTGGGGAAGCAGGGGTGCTGGTGGCAGGGGAGAGGGACCTGCCACCTCTCCATGGGTGTTCCGGTGTAGCTCCTGTCCCCTCCAGATGTGCTGCCTCTGACAGTGCCCATAGTGACTGTCCTCACTGGTCAACTCTGTGCTGTGTGGTGTGTTTTTTCCTCAGTGACAGTGAATAAAAGGTGTGACTGTGCTGAGGTCTCCTGCTCTTTCCTAAGCTGGGAGAGGGCTGGGTGAGAGGGGACCTGGGGGACATCACATAGTGGGATCACCTCAGGGACCTACTTGTTCTAGTGAGAATTCTGGGAATGTGGCTTGAGACCCACTTGAGCTAGTTCAAAAAAAGTGGGGAAAAGATTACAAGGAACCCTAAAGATGGAAAATCAAGAATGGTTGGGTCTCGGGAGAACTGAAACTGATGACGAGGCCTCTCCATCTCATCCTCAGGCCTCATAGGTTCTTGTCCCCTGGGCAATATTTACCTCTGTGCTCTTTTCTTTGGCTTCCCTTTAGACTTCCTTGGTTTTCCTACATATAGTGGCTGCATTCCCAACTCTGTATCAAGACTCACTAGCAGCTGGGCACAGTGACTCACGCCTGTAATCCAAGCACTCTTGGGAGGCTGAGACAGGAATGAAAGGCAGGTGGATTGTTTGAGCTCACGAGTTCAAGACCAGCCTAAGCAAGAGACCCTGTCTCCAAAAAGTAGCCGAGCATTGTGGTGGGTGCCTATAGTCCCAGCTACTCAGGAGGCTGAGGCAAGAGGATCCCTCGAGCCTAGGAGTTTGAGGTTGCTGTGAGCTATGATGTCACAGCACTCTACTGAGGGTGATAAAATGAGACTCTGTCTCAAAAATGAAAAAAAAAAATGACTCACTAGTGACTAACAACTCTGCTCTGTGTTTCTTAGCTCCGATTCTTAAGCAAAAAGATCTGATTTGTTTTGGTTTAGCTTCAAGCCAGGTGTATTCCTTTGGCCAGACTGGCACTGATTATGTTAGGCCTATTAGCAACTGCCCCAGAAGGAAGCTAACGGCAGTTGACATTGGGACTTGGTTTCTCCTTTTGTCCAGTGGAAGGCATCGTAAGAGCCCAAATGAGTGGATAGTGGCCAGTGGAATGAAAGGCCAAAAGCCAGGGGTATAATTAGTCCATATGGTGCTCTTGGTACAAATTAGGAAAAGGCACTCCCTCTGAGTGGGAGCAGCCCTAAAACTATGCAGCTAGGCAGTGGATGGCACCTTTGGGCTAATTAGACAAACATGGCTCTTCTTTTGGACAAATCCAGCCCTGTCATGTCAACATGCCCAGCTTTGCTAGTGGAGCAAGGCTGAATTTTAGCTCCCACCTGGCCTGCTGTTCACAGGTCATCGTGGAGTGCATAATCTGCTCCACCATGCACAGGAGCCTAGCCCAGGGCCCTGAGACCTCCCCACCTGACTCAGATTTAGTTAGGGTGGGGGTCGGAGTAGGTTGGTGGTAAAGTGTTCCTCTCAGAACATCCCCAACAGTCAGACAGGCAATGTTCCCCACAGGAAGTTGGGGCCAGTGGCAGCTGGAGCTGCCTATTTCCTCCTGGAATGCTCAGTTGCTTCAACAAGGGTTTCTTCAAGGACATTTGGAGGTGGCCAGTTCCCTTGGCAGGAAGCAATTAAGACAGAGGAAGGAGGCTGACCTGGCCTGAGGGCAACCATGAACCTAAGGAGGTGACTCACAAGACTAAGAACTTGGGGCTGTTATTCCTAGCTGAAGCCTCTCTGGGGGATGGGAAGTCTTGTCCCCTGCCTGCCTGGGCATACAGGGTCTGGGTCACCTTCTCCCTTAAACTCCCCATTCAGGCCCTCATAATCCTTAGCCCAACCAGGTTAGTCCATCTCCTACTTTCAGTCTTGCTCTTTGCCCCAGCCAGCTGCCACTAAAAAGCAAGCGTGATCATCCTAAGCCACACATCTGACCATGTCAGCTCCTCCAAGGCTCTCCTCTCCCCTCAGAATGACATGCCACGTAAATGTCCCTGGAGGCCCTGCACGACCTGACACCAGCTGACCTCAGAAGCTTTTTTCTTCTCCTCTCTTCCTCTTCCTGCACCCTGCACTTGAGCTACCCTGGATTGCCCTCCATTTTCCCAAGGGGTCTCTTACACTTCTGTGCTTGTGCTCAAGCCATTAGTCCTCCCTGGGTCACCCTCTGCCCTGTCTCAGTTACCTCCTCCTCTATGAAGCCCTCCCAGCCCTCAAACAATTGGTCCTTTGTGTGTACACAGGCCTTCAAAGTCAACAAACACTTCCCCTGTGATCTGCTGTCAGCTGAGCCCAGCACACATTTAGTCTCCACTTTTTTCTTAAGATAAGGAAACAACGGCTCAGAGAATGATAAAGTTGAAAACTTGAACTCAGGCCTCCCAACATCAAGGACTATTGTGTTTTCTCAACCATGGGAGTGGATCCAAGTCAGAAAGTGAAAAGGAGGCCAGGCATGGTGATTCATACTTGTAATCCTAGCACACTGGGAGTCTGAGGCAGGTGGATTGCTTGAGCTCAGGAGTTCGAGACCAGCCTGAGCTAGAATGAGACCCTGTCTCTAAAAATAGCTGGCCATTATAGCAGGCAACTATACTCCCAGCTACTTGGGAGGCTGAAGCAAAAGGATTGCTTGAGTCTAAGAGTTTGAGGTTGTTGAGAGCTATGATGCATGGTACTCTACTGAGGGTGACAAAGTGAGACTCTGACTCAAATAATAATAATAACAACAATAACAATAATTATAAGAGGTGATAACAAACCATGAGCTCTGGGCTCAGGAGAGGAAGGGTCTTGACTGGTAGGGGTGGATAGGCAAGGAGCAAAGGGGAATGATGGCTCCATGGAAGAGGTGGCAACTACCCTGGGTCTTGCTAACCAGCCAACAGGTTAGGTATGTTGGAGCTGGGCTGCCCAAGAGAGCAGTTCAGGTGTGGAGACCCTGGTCTGTTCTTAGCTTATTCATATGAAGGAGTGCTGGACCTGGAGGGAAAGTGCTGGCCACAGTCCAGGAATGCATAGCCAGGGAATCCCTGCACCCAGCCAGCTATAAGGGGTCAACGGACAAACCAGAGACAATGGGCAGAAGCCTGGAAGGGTGGAGAGAACAGTAGAGGATAAAGTCCTCTATCCTCTAAAGAGGGATCTAGGGAACGTTCTTAAAGGGACTCACCCAGGAGTTTGGGCAGGATCCTTTGATGTCAAGGAACAGTAGCCTACTCATGGTAGTGTGGGTTAAGGGGAATAAATTAGTTGAAACTTTTGGCTGCAAGTGAACAAAACCCAACTCAAACAAGCTTCAGCAAAAAGGGAGGCATATTGGCTCATGTAATTGAGAAGTTCAGGTTCTGCTCTCTATGACAAAAAGGGTCTTAATACACATTGCCCCAGATTAATAACTCCAGAGAAAAAAATAGCCACATCTCCCATCATCCCTAAATTCGTGTGCTGTAGAGTGGCCTAGTGGGAGTCACGCTGTGTTCCTTGGATCAATCAATCACTGTTTCCAGTGACATAGGGCTCTACAAGTGGTCAGATCTCAGTCATACATGCCTATTTCTTGACCAGGGATTCAGGAAGGCAAGACTTGTTATTAGAAGGAGAAGTTGGGTAAGGTGGCTAATCAAGCAAAACCAGTAGCTCCTGACTTTCCCCTTTGGGGAATTTCTTGAAATGGTGTAGAGCATCTCATTTAAATTCAGGGATGAGGATCATAGCCCAACCTCAACTGGGACTACAGTCAGAGGCAGCTCCCTCTCAGGGGAGTCTCTCCTGGAGTCTCTGCTGCCCTGTGCATATCTTTTTTCATTTTTTAATGCTGATCAGCTCTTTCCACTCACGGGAGTTTCCACCCCCTCTCAGCTTTACACCGAGCATAACTGCAGCCTGCTGAGGCTCAGCCAGGTCTCTTAGGAGCTCATTGTATTTCACAGCATCCTCAGCTTCTGTTCCTGTGGTTGACTACCCAGACCCTGCTTCCAATTCCAGATTCCTGAAAAGAAGAGTCTGATTGGCCCATGTCATCTTTTCAAGCCAGCCACACAGGTCAAAAGCCAGTGGACAGAATGAGAATGGTTCCCTTTTGTGTCAAGAACTCATCTTCACCCAAATAACCACTCTATATGTTCTTCCCAAATGACTTCATCTCTCTTCCATGAGGCACCTCAGAATAATTGACCCCTTTCAATTATTTATTGCTGTATAACGAGTGACCCCAAAACTTAGTGCTCAAAACAACGATTTATATTTTTCATAATTCCATGAGTTGGCTGGGCTCAGCAGGAAGGTTTTACTGCTGCTGCACATTGTGTTGGCTGCATTCCACTGGAAGATGGAACAGTCTGAAACAGCCAGGTTGGCCTCACTCACAAGTCTGGCAGTTGGTGCTGACAGTTGCCTGGAGAACCTCAGTTGCCTTCTATCTTCCAGAGCTGCTCTGTTTCACCATGTGGCCTTTCCAGCAGGATAGTCTAGACTTCTTCGCATAGTAGTTGGCTCCCAAGAGAGTAAAAATGGAATATCTTAAGACTTAAGCTTGGAAACTATATAGTATCACTTCTACTGCATTCTTTTAGCCAAAACAAATCACGAGGCCAACTGAGATTCAACTTAACCTTTGGATGGAAGGAGTGTCAAAATCACATTGCCATAGGGCAGGCAGGATGTGAAAGGCTTTAGAGCCATCTCTATTAAGGCTGGAGAAGACAAGTCTAGACATACTTCCTCCCAATCCTAAAACTCTTTATTATTGTTTTCCCCCTTTTCCTCCCACACAAGGTTTGATTAGTTCCTCCCAGGACGAGATGGAGGCAGGGCAGATTCCTCCATTCTGTACCCCTTCCCAGTATTTTCTCCTGCTTCTTCCACCCACCTGTGCACATCTGTGAGGGAGGCTATTAGACCTCCTGGCCTGTGCTGCGGGGAGGGTGACGTTTATGTCTGCCTTCTAGGACTAGTACAGGGCTCTGCACCAAGAGGGACAGGGCTCTGGAATTCCAAGACGGTACTCTAAGATTCTTTGGTTCCGAGGCCCCTTTTCTACCCTCGCTGTCTCCAGCCTCTTCATAGCTCTTAACTAGCGGTTCCAAGCTGGGCAGGGGGTATCTAGGAATGCGCGCCCCCTGCTGGCCACCGTGGGGCCAGCAAGAATTCGGATTCTGAGGCCCCGGGAATCTCTCGGTTCTGGGTCCCCGACGCCCGCCCTAACCCAGGGAAGCTTGGTCTCGCCACGGACTGCAAGGACCACTCAGCCTTGGTGTGGAAGACCTGCCGGCTGGGCCCTCCACTGAGTTCCCCGCTGCGAGCAGGCGTCTGCTCGTGGGCGGAGCTGTCCATGCATCACCTCTTCCGCCTGCAGGATGGGTTCCGAGGGAAGGGGACACCGCTCGGGGTCCCAGGATCCTGGCTTCCAAGAGGAAAGGTGCGTGGCTGGCTTTAAGTAAGGAATCGAGGGGCGGCTAGGTTTTCCTTTTCTTTGGGGATCACTTTCGGGTGGATGGTGGTCAGGTCTCTCTTGGTGCCCTTGAGCACCTGCGAAGAACATTATTTTCAAAATCCCGAATCCGCAGAAGCCCTCAGCCTTCAGGCGCCTTCTTCCAGAAAGCTGGACAGGCACCCCTCCTACTCGCTTCCAGCGTGCGATCGAGGCAGGAGGGCTCGGCCGTCCCTCGGTACACGTACAACAGCGGCAGCGACAGCAGCAACTCACCAGAGACAGAGAGGGCGAGCTGGACACCCCGGCGGGCGGGGCTCCGCGCTCACGAACCAGCCCGCCCCCTTCTCGCACCGGGACGCGCCTCCCTCCGGCAGCCAAGCCCCGCGAGCCCCGCGTCTCCGCCGCCACCGGCTCTGGCCGGGCCGGGTCCGAACCGGAGTATGGAACCTGGGGAGCCCCGGGAGCCCCGCGAGCCCGGGCCTGGCGCAGAGACCGCCGCGGCTCCGCGCTGGGAGGAAGCCAAGACTTTCTACGACAACCTCGCGCCCAAGAAGAAACCCAAATCGGTAAAAGCAAGGCGTGGGTAGAGGGTGGCGAGGGGGTGGTGTCACCCCGGGGAACAGGGTCGTGCCCTGGGAAGGGAACCGTGGCGCCCCTCCAGGAGGGGACGCAACTAACTCCTCGGCCCCAGAATGCGCCCCGCAGTTGGCGAGGACTCGGGTTTATTTTGGGAGCTCTGCTCTGGTGTTTTTTTTCCCCCGGGCTCGGGTTCCACGCCAGGATCCCCCTCCCCCATGCTGTCACCAGGGCCCAGCTTGCGGCCGGCGGCCCCAGCCCGTCCCAGGCAGCCAGGGCGCACAGACAGCACTTGTTGGCAAAGCTGGTCAGCTGCACCTGCTGAAGCGCCCGGGGCTGGGGTAACCAGACTCTGGAAACGCAGCTCCTCGCTGTGTGTTCTGGTCTCTGCCATCTGGGCGTCGGGCTCGGACCCCAGGGTTCGGGCTCTGGACAGAGAGCCCTGCGGTCCGGGCTGCAGGCGCTGCACTCCCCTTCCCCGCCTTCTAAAGAAAGGAGCTGCTCGCTTCAAGCACTGGAATCCACACTCTATGTCTAGGGTTGGCACCCGTGGTTCCAGGATTCCAAGGCTGGACTCTGCTCCAGCTCCAAGCTCTTCTCCCTTCGCAGTGGGCATTAACATCCCCGTGACCCACGTGATGGTGTCAGCCCGTTAGTGCTTCAAGCAGAGCAGTGAGCTTTTCTCCACCCCACAAGTTCATGACGCCCTGATCTGCCCTTGGACCAGGCTCACTCCTGTTTCCCAGATCTCAGTGCTTAGGGAGGGGACTGAGGATAGAAGATGGCCCAAAATGGTCCTCCAAAGAGCTCTAGCTTGATCTCAAAGCATCCCACTGCTTCCCTCCAAAGAGCCTTCTCCACAAGGCTCACCTATCAGGCAGGAGTCATTCAGTTTGCACCTCTGGGCTCTGGCTCAGAAATAGGGATTGATAAATTCAGCTGAGTCTCTGCCTTAGTCACTCCTAGTGCACGGATGGAGGCTTTGGAAATGGTGAGTGCACAGAAAAGACCCTAAGAGATGCGGGGACAGCACAGGGGAGGGAATGACTTCAGACTGGGGAAGGCTTTGTAGAGGTGACATTTGAGCTAATCGTAAAGCCTGAGCAGGTGGAATTTCCTAGGCAGAGCAAGGGGAACCGGCATGGAGATGTCTTTACTCCTGTGTTCCTGAGTAAGTACTGATGGGAGGATGCAGGATTGTTGGGGAGAGTGGAGGGACATGGGAGAACCTGTGAAGGGCCTTCAGGGTGTTGTTAAAGAACGTGGACTTTATTCAGTGGGGTTAAGAGTTGGGATCTAGTTTGGAAAGTCGGGAGTTTCAGGAAGTCTGTGTTTGTGAATCCAATTGATTTTTTTTCCAAACTATGTTTAAACAATTAAAAATATATAATAAAACCCTACTCACGCAAATGTGTTAGATGGACATTTTAGCACCTTGGAGACCCCGAACATATTAACTCGTGCTACAGGTTATTTTATTAGTGAACTTTAGAATAAAGCTTTTCCTATTATTTGTTTAATAGGAGAATGTCTTGAGATTGCAAAACTTTCAGTTTAAAACAAAACAAAGCAAAAAAATCCTCTTACCATTTGCAACCACTTACTTGATACAAATCAGGACTTTCTCAATACTCGGCAAAAACAAACACAGACACAGATTGGCTGGATGCTGAAGCTTCAGCCTGAGCTAGTACCCTAATGTTGAGATACAAACCATTGTGGTTTTTCATTAACTGACTTTATAGTAAGTACATTTATATTTATATGATGCATTTGAATTTGTAAAATAAATGTGGAGCAATTAAGTACGGTAATAGCTGATTTACATACTGGGTAACCTTATGACCACCTGTATTAGGGTCCTGCCCAGGAGTTCATTTGAATAAGGGGTCAACCTACTTTTTAAAAAACATGCGAAAACCATTATGGAGCTTTTGCAGGATTTTTCATTGGGGGATTAACTTGGTCTCACTTTTATTTTAGAAAGATCACTCTGGAGCAGTGTGTCAGATAGATTGGAAAAAGTGAGAAGGCTAGTCTCTGCCTGAAGAAGCAGCTTAGAATGTAGTGACCTGAGGGATGGAGAGAAGGGGATAGAGAATGCATCAATGTTCAAAATCCCTTTCTACCTCAAGCATCAGGGAACTGGGGAGCCCAGGCCCAGTGGTCAGCTTTGGCCCCTTGGCCACCCCTGGCCTTCACAGCTCTCTAAGGGGCAAGGAGCCTGGAGGCTTCCTGGCCCCTATTCCTTCCTGCAGTAGCCCCTCTTCCCACAGGCTATTTTGGGGGCATTAGGCCTCATGGGCCCCATCAGGGCCTGACCTGGACTTATTCTCATTCCCAGGGGTCTGAGTGAAATATTTAACCCTAGGCCATGGGAGGCCTTCTCACGGTGTCAGAGTACTTCTTCAGTCCAGACCTGTCCTGTCTTCCTCTTCTCCAGCAGCCCTTCCCTCTCCCAATCCTGCTAGAAAGAACAGCTTTCTGGCTGTGTTCCTGTCTTGGGTTCAATAGGCAGAATCATACTGGGCTCTATGGCAGGTCCTCAGGCAGGCTGGGTCAGGACAGCCAGAGCTGTCAGCCTGCCCCTCAGCCCCACTGGAAGGCATAGAAGGCTGGCAGGACGCTGATTCCCTGCAGCCCCCAGAGTGCCCAAGCTAAGCCCCGGAGTTGTCCTGATCCAATCCCCAGTCCAAGATTTGAATTTCCTTCTAATTTCTGGAGGAACTGTTGCTAGTGTGTGTTCCTGACAACACCTGACCAGCTGACCTTGTTCTGCAGCCAGGCCCAAGAGGGTCTCCCCATGGTGGCTTGTCCAGTTCTGGTCAGCCCCTCTCACCTGTTCCTTCAGCTCCTCCTGCACAGGCTGGTCACCTATCCCAGCTGGGTCGCGCATTTCTTATAGCAGCATATGCCCTCTAGATCTCAGGTCACTCATACTGTGTCACAGCAGTCCCAGGGGACAGGGGCCTGCCCTTGGGACCCCTGTTCTGAGGGGAAGACAGCCCTGCCCTTAGAAACAACAATCTGAGGGCATGGGGGCCCCTCACTATTTTCCACATCTGGAAAGCAGGTGTGGAAGAGGTGTTTCCAGGGAAATAGCTGAAGTACCCCACAGAGGAGGCCTTCTGGGACCCACTGAGGAGGGAGAGGCATAAAAGGGACTGCTGTGTAGACAGATGCCAGGCTAAAGGCCAGGGGCTTGGGATCTGATCCTGGCTCTGACTTGACTTTGCTGTGTGTCCTAGAGTAACACTCTGTCCATCTCTGGTCCTGTTTTGTTATTAGTAAAATAGAGAAGTAGAGACTCTTGGGGCCCTGATTTTTCTTGCCTATGGGTGGGGTGGAATGGGGTCTAGGTAGATCAGCCAAAGGAGACCCAGGATTTGGCAGTCCGGTGGAGAATGTGGGACAGAAAGTGAGTAGTGTGACCTTGGCTGGCGGCCTAGGCTGGAGTGCCTTGCTTGGGAACCTGCCTGAAGGGGCAGGGGGGCAGCCGGCTCTCTGTTCTTAAAGGCACGATGGGCCCATCCCCAGGATAGTGAGCCTATGTGTGGGGAAAGCTCAGCTCCTACTCCAAAGGCCTATAGGCCCCCCCAGGTTATGAGAGGGTCTCCCTACCCTCCCACCATCCCTACCCATAGGACACACAGACGCATGGCAGGGTGGCCAGCGACTGGGAGAGTCATTTGTGTAGTGCCTCAGAGGAGAAGCACTCGTCCTGCTACTGCTTTACACAGACCTATCCCTGCCAGACACATACATCCTCTTAGGTTTAGAAGTCAAATGCAAACCGAGGTCCACCATACGACCTTGGGGAACGCTTTTGTTTTTCATTCCTATTTTAAGGTTCTGAAGCTGCATTAGCCACTAGCCATATGTAGCTATTTAAGCGAATTAAAATTAAATAAAATTAAAAATTAGGTTCCTCAGTCTCACTAGTCACATTTCAAGTTGTTCCATAGCCACATGGGCAGCACAGATTATGGAATATTTCCATTATCACAGAAAGTTCCACTGGACAGTGCACTTCTAAGAGATGGCATAAATCTCTGCCTTGGGGGATGAATTATAAGCTCCACAGGGGCAGGGATCATACCTGTACTGTTCCCTGCCATGCACCCTGCACAGTAGCTGTCACATGGTAACCAACGAATGTTGTCAATTGACTGGAACCCAGGCTTGGCCCCATAAAAGAAGCTGTGGTGTTGGGTACAGGACCCACAGGACTGTCATGAGCAGACCAGAATGGGAGGGGCATCTGTGAATCAGTCCTTCCTTCCTTCCTTCCTTCCTTCCTTCCTTCCTTCCTTCCTTCCTTCCTTTCTCTTCCTTTCTTTCCTTCTTTCTTTCTACAGGGGATTAACTTGGTCTCACTTTTATTTCAGAAAGATCACTCTGAATCACCTCTTAGAGGTCCTACTTCTCAACACTGCTGTATTAGGGATTAAGTTTCCAACACATGAGCTTAGTGGACATATTCAAGCTCATTTCCTTCCCTCTTGCATTTGAGTTCTCTGTTTACCTATCTTTCTCTCCCACTAGCCTATGAGCTCTGAGGGAAGGAACCAGGTGTTTACTGGAACCACTAGGCAGGTACCTGGCACAAAGAACCAGTAGATACTTGTGAAATTTGCATCAACCAAAAAAAAAAAAAAACTCTCTGAGCACCTACTATATATAAAACAATCTGGGTGGTGCCTGTGGCTCAGTGAATAGGGCACTGGCCTTATACCGGAGGTGGTGGGTTCAAACCCAGCCCCAGCCAAAACTGGAAAAAAAGAAAAAAGAAAACCAATCTGAACAGATTAGGGCAATTCCCTGGGGTTTCTAGTTCATGTTGAATTTGTCATTGCACATTGAAATATATAAGTATATTGCCTCATAGTGACTCACTCCTGTAATCCTAGCACTCTGAAAGGCTGAGGAAGACAGATTGCTTGAGCTCAGGAGTTCAAGACCAGACTGAGCAAGAGTGAGAGACTGCCTCTACTAAAAACAGAAAAACAAGCTGGGCGTTGTGGTGGGTGCCTGTAGTCCCAGCTACTCAGGAGGCTGAGGCAAGAGGACTGGTCAAGCCCAAGAATTTGAGGTTGCTGTGAGCTATAATGCCACAACACTCTAGCCAGGGTGACAGAGCGAAACTCTGTCTCAAAAAAAAAAAAAAAAGAAAGTATT